TTTGAGGTTGCTGTGAGCTAGGATGACGCCACGGCACTCTAGCCCGGGCAACACAGTGAGACTCTGTTTCAAAAAAAAAAAAAAAGAAAAAAAACATTAATTTGTAATACAAGCTACTACCACTTTTCAGTGCCAATACTTTCCATATACTGTATCTCTAAAGCCCCCTCCCACCCCACTCCCATTCTACAGACAAAAACCTGGCTCAATGTGAAATTAGTTGCTCTTGATCAAATAGCCAATAAGTGACAAAGTTTGGGTTCAAAGCTGCAAAACTACTGTTTTTTCCTTTATCATGTTTTTCTATACGATCACACGCCAACAGAAAAAAATCCAATACATTTAACAAGTATGTTTAGGCACGAGTTATTTTCTAAATATGTCTGCTGTCCTTAGTTCAACTTTTTTTTTTTGAGACAGAGTCTCACTCTGTTGCCTGGGCGAGTGAGTGGCGTCATCCTAGCTCACAGCAACCTCAAACTCCTGGGCTCAAGTGATCCTCCTGCCTCAGCCTCCCGAGTAGCTGGGACTACAGGCGTGTACCACCATGCCCGGCTAATTTTTTTCTATTTTTAGTAGAGACGGGGGTCTCACTCTTGCTCAGGCTGATCTCCAACTCCTGAGCTCAAGCTATCCTCCTGCCTCAGCCTCCCAGAGCGCTAGGATTACAGGCGTGAGCCACTGTGCCTGGCCATTTCAACTTTTTGTTTTCCATTTAGCATATTTTTGGACACTATGTGCCAAGCCCTGTTGTAGGTGATAGGGACAGAGAGATTAAAAAAACAAACAAGCAGAAAAGAGCTTTCAGTCTAGTGAGAAGACTGCAACTTCAATATACTGTACCTATAACTACTGTACCAAAATGTGACAAGTGTTACCCACAAGGAAGTATAAAACAGTATGGTTTCAAAAATCCAGCTATCTTCCCAAAAGCAAAAGATAATCTCCCACATTAGCTTCTTTACAATGGTTCTAGTTTCAATTCTGATGATATTCTTTTTGCTTTTTTTCAAGTTCCCAGACACCATTAGGAATTTCTGCTGATATTCTAGAGGCCACAAACTTCCCTTCTAGATTCCTGGGTAAAAGGTCCCCAATGTCCTTCTATATAAATCACCACACTAGACATGTTCAATAAGTATGAACAAAAGCTTGCCAGCTCATGTCAGCATAAAGCTCTTTCTCCAAAAATAATACTGTAATTTTTGGAAGTTCTAGCAATGAAAATAAAGTAAGTTTGGTCATATCATGGATGTGGAGAGTTAAAAGTGACTTAGACATTATTTTGAACATATAATCTTGAAAAGTTAAATTCACTTGTCCATTGTTACCAGACTCAGTAAGGGCAAGCTCTGAGACATAAATCTAGGTCTCTTAACTCATTATAAGGTCTTCCTTTCCACTGCTGCTTCTTTAAGCCCAATAAAAATGGATTTAATGAAGTTCGAGTTTTCTCATTTCATCAGTGATATATGAGTAAATAATCATAGCAGTTTTAAAGACTAACTTTATCAAAAACAAACATACTAAGTACCCACCATGAGATGTGACAGAAGCTCTCAGGCATTTGGGAGGGAAATGTCAACACACCCTAGAAAACTGCCATCAACATCATCATCAACATCTTCGCAATAGCTAGTATTTTGGGGTGTTTACTCTAAGCCAGGCACTTTACATGTTATTTTTGATGTTACAATCACTCTTGAAAGATAGACATGATCATCCTTACTGTACATTTGTGGCCACCAGGTTTAAAGAAATACCCCAAATTCCACTGCTACCCAGGGGCTGAGACAGAATTCAAATTCAGAGTCTATGCTCTTTCCCCACTATACCACACTCCCTAGGTACAGAAATATTGCACTGCCTGTGTGCCTGTGACATCAAGTCACTTCAAACTTTGACATAATTTCCTGACTGGCAGTTATGAAATATAGCCATCTTTTCAATCTTTAGACTGGTCTAATGAATTTTCTTTTATGATTTCTCAAATTAGTGGTCTTCCGGGTTTTCTTTTTTCTTTTTTAAAAGAAGCAGAACTCTTTTTCCAAATGAAATTTTATGTGAAAACACTAAAATATGTGACAGGTCAAAGTTGAGCTGCTCTGGTTTAAGCAGAGGAGAACCAAAGCTCTTCCTTACTCTCATGGCCAACCCTTAGGCACCTTCAAGGAATAGTTTTTAAAATTCTGGCTTAAAACAGAAGACTCTGCCTTCTCCATCTCAGCTCTGCCATTCATCAGCTGTATAATCTTTCACAACAAACAATGAGCTTCACTTTTTCTTGTCCTTTACAATAGAGATACCACCATCTACTTTATAGGTTTGTTACAAATACTATAAATAATAAAATAAACACAAAGTTTCCTATACATGGCAAGCACTGAAAAGTTAGTTCCCTCTTTTTTATCTACAGTGTTAACAGTTGTTGCCAATTCAAGTAAACTCAATAAATGTATCTGAAAATATTCTCAGCAGCAAGGAAGTGAACAAGTACATGCTCTCATAGTTCAACTAAAATAAACAAAGCTAATAAATCCTTCATTAAAGGTACCAGTGTGGCCCAGCACTGTGGCTCACGCCTGTAAAAAAAAAAAAATATGAATTCTAGGCAGACATAAACATTCAGACCAAAGCACTCTACCAGCTTAGCCTCCCAGTCAGTCACTGACTCATATATCCCAACCACAATTTTGATTATAGACCAGATATCTCTTATGAGATACCTTAATGTTGACACTAAGTGTGACGTGAAAAGTTAATGTTATTCTGAGTACCTTAAATTTTGGCATTTCCTGAGCTGAGTATTTAAACTGGCAACTTAATTCTGCATTTAACGAGTTTTTTTTTTTTTCTTTTTTTGAGACAGTCTCACTGTGTTGCCCGGGCTAGAGTGCCATGGCGTCAGTCTAGCTCACAGCAACCTCAAACTCCTG